TGACGGAAGGACGGATCCCAACGCCCCTGGCCGGCCTGGTGAGCACTGGTCACAAAACCCCAGCCGAGAGACGACACATCCGTGTACACATCGAGCGAGGGCTCGGGTAGGCACCAAGGCACTGAACCCCGAAAAACCCGAAGAGGAAGCCGGTGACGCAGCAACCGACACAAGGCCCCCGGGGGTCGATCTCTGCGATCGCGAGAGAGGCGGAAGGGGGAACCCCGAAGGAACCAGAACAGCTGTCGAAGCCAAACCCGACCCGGCGGGTAGACCACCATCGCGAAGTTCAGGCTCCCGCACAGCCCCTCGAGCAACCGCCGGGTGACCCGAGGGCCCTCCAGAAACAGACGAAGGCGGGACCGCAGCCGCAGGAGAGACTCCGGAGGGAGAGACAAGGAGGCGGTTCGAGAGTCCCAAACGAGACCCAGCCAAGTCCGAACCTGAGAGGGAACCAGATGGGACTTCCTCCAGTTCACCAAGAACCCGAACTCGGCGAGCTGGGAAAGAACCAAATCCCTGGCTAGCAAGCAAGCTGACTGGCTGGGAGCCCAAACCAGCCAGTCGTTGAGGTAGGCCAACACCCGAACACCTAGGAGACGCAAATGAGCCACCACAACCCGTGTAAGGCGCGTGAACACGCGAGGTGCCAGGTTCAACCCGAACGGGAGACAATGAAAGCGGTAACTCAGACGCCCCACAACAAAACCGAGCCAGTCCCTGAACCATGGATGAATCGGGACATGCCAATAAGCGTCCCAGAGGCCCAGGGACACCATCCAAGCTCCCGGCTCCAAGAGGAGCCGAACCTGAGACAGCGTAGTCATCCGAAAGGAGGGGCAATGAACCCAGGGGTTCAGACGGGACAAGTCCAGAATGAACCGCAGGTCCGCGCAGTCCCGTTTCGGAACCGGAAACAGACGGGAGACCCATCTGAGGGACGACGTCGTTTCGACGACGCCCAAGCGTATCCACTCCAAGACGACTCGACAGAGCGCAGGGGAAGAAACCTGCCCTGCCAGCCCCGACCCCCCAAAGGGGGGAGGGGCCACCCAACGCCACCGCAGGCCGCGAGACACGACCCGAAAGGCCCACGAATCGTGGGACCAGGCGCGGGTGAACAGCGCAAGCCGCCCCCCCATCGCCCCGTCAAGGGGGCAAACCACGAAAGGGCCGGCGACCCTTACGAGACCCAGAACCCCGCACAGCACGAACACCGCGCCGACCAGACGAGGGAGGGTCCGCAGGAGCCAACCCCAAACCTGACACCAGAGGCCTACCACGACGAGAGGAACCCCGAGCCCTGGCACGACCTTTCCGGGAAGACCCACCCCGGGACCCCCGGAAAACCAACAAGTCCGACATCGGACGACAAGCCGCCGACGCAGCCTGAATAAACTGCGCCACGGCCGACTCCCCAAACAGGAGAGGACAAAAAGGAGAAGAACACCTAAGAGCCAGAGCCCAAGCAGATTCCACGGAGGAACCCAGCACCGCCTGCCGACACGCGAGACGGGAAGCATAAAACAGGGAAACCGCATCCCGCAAAATCGGCGTGAACAGCTTCAACAAGGCAGCCGACGAACACGCAGCCGAGGACAAGGTGCCGGACCCCGGGACGGACCCAAGCGTCCCCACATCCTCCATGAGCCAATCCGAAGACAGCTCCAGGAGGGAAAAGAACCGCAAGGCCGAACACAAAAGGCCTCGGGCGCGCAAGTCCTCCGCAACGAGCGCCGCCGAAAGGGAGGGAACCTGCACATGGAGCTGAATAACGCCCACATCGCGGGGAAGGGCAGGGGCAAACAAGCACTCATTCAGGTACTCAAGTTCGCCCCCCAGGAAAACCTGAAGCACCATGGAAGCTTCCCTTCCAGCGTGCGGGAACGACAGAAGGAATGCCAGGAATCCAGACCAAACAAGGGGCAGTCTGCTAGCCAGGACGACTCCGGAACCTCGTAACGGAGCCAGAAAGGGAACGAAGTCCCAAACCTGAACGTGGACGGATCCATTTCCGAGGCATAATCCGGGTCACGCAGGAGGTAAGCTGCAAAGGCCGCTCGCACCACACCAGGTTGGATGCGATAAGCCGAAAACCTCCGGAAGGACGGAACCGACGTACCCGGGGGAACACGGAACCGAACCCAGGGAGGGGCCGACACCAAATCCAACTCGTACGCAGAGGGGGGAAAAGAAAACCCCACTCCTTGTAACAATAAGCCCCGCTCAGTGGGAAGAAAAACCCAGGCGGGGTCCAGCCGGGCCCAAGGCCCCCAAGTCAGCCCCTCCCCAGCCTCGAGGTCCATCACCACAGGACCCGAGGCCGAGTCCTCTCCCCAAGCCCCGACCCCACAAGACAAGGACGGAGCAGCCGGAAAAGCTGGAGGAAGGGGGGCCCACTGGTCAGACCCTGAAGCTTCGGCCGGGAGACAAGACTCGAATGCTTCTGCCGTCCCCCCGGAAGGGGCAACCCCCGAAGCTGCCCGAGTCTCGAGATCAAGTAACCCCTTCTTGAGGTTATCTTGAGATGATTTCGGGGCTTTTAGTGTCCCCGCGGCCCGGTCCTCGACCAGGCCTCCACCCCCAGGAAGCAGCCCATGACAGCTGGCTAATACCCAGGTACCTATTTACTGCTAGGTAACAGGGGCATAGGGTGAAAGAAACTCTGCCCATTGTTTCTCGCCGGCGAGTGGGATCGAACCCAGGACCACAGGATCACAAGGCCAGCGTGCTGTCCGCTCGGCCGACCGGCTCCCCCCTGCTCCGACCCCGAAACCCTCAGACGCTTCGGGGCCGGAAGCAGGGGCGGGGGACCAGAACGAACAGAAGGGGAAGGACGAGGAGGTGCGGACTGAACCAGGATCGAAGCGACCCCCACCCCCAAGTCCGGGTCTCGAAAAGCAAAGCGGGGCAGCCCCGGGGCATCCGGGGAAGCAACCAACCGAGCGCGTTGCAACAGACGAGACCTAGACTGCAACGCACGCGCCACCTGTACCCCGAATAGAATCAGAGGATTGGGTAAATTGAGTCACAAGCAAGCAGCAACACTCACAGGACTCGGGGTCGAAAGTATCACCGACCCAACAGGCAGCATGGCAGAGGCAAAAACAATGAGGGTCACCCTGAGACAAGGGGACCGAGCAACCCTCAAACTCGCACACAGGGAGTGGGGACTCTCACATCCATCGAACCCACGCGCCCCCTAGGGGATTCCCAGGGTCCTGAGCGTTTACTTTAAGAGGACTAGCGCTCAGGTAGTCCCAGGTAGGGTGCTGGAAACCGGCGCCCAAAACTACCAAGCAAACTTCTAAAGCTGAACCCCAGGGACGTGTACACTCACGGGGACCTAGCAGGGGGCGCCACCGAGGAGAACAGTGGAAGGGCAAAAACAAACTGAATAAAATGACAGAACCCCCCACCAGGCAAAAACAAAAAGAAAAACAAAACCCCGCAAGAGGACAGCGAACCCCAAGGAACAGAGCCGGCCGCGATGTCGGGAAATACAAGCTGAGCAGCACCCTGCGCCCCTACCAGTGCAAACTGCCTCTTACCTGCCGGTAACAAGGGAGAACAGAACACCCAAGAGCCCAACAGGCGGCCGAAAAACCGAAAGGTAAAACGGACCAGCAGAGGCAGACCCCGAGGAGCCTGTGGAAGGTGGCCCCAAACCCCAAGGGCAGTACTTACAGGGCACCTAGGGAAGGCAGCCCTAGGCGCATGCAGCCCGAGTACTGAAGATAACTCCTGGCTCTCGCACCCACAAAACCAACACCACACGCAAAGCACAGTGCAGTAGCGACACCGGAGCCAGAGCACACGACCATCGCCTATAGCATCAGCCTCAAGAACTGAGGTGTGGGTAGCTGGCGCGGGGGGTCTGGGGCTCCCCCTTCCCCCTCCCGGGGAGGGGGGAGCTGCGCAGACAGCGGCATGGCGGTGTGTGACGTCACACTAGTTTGCTTGTTTTCGGTTGGGGAGTTCTATCCACTAGTTCGGTTTTTGGTAGCAATTTTAACCAGAATAGGGGTTTGTTTTGGGGCGCTTACCTTTCTGGGTGCCTGTTCCGGTCGATGGCAGACATAGAATGCTTCCAACTACACGGGGGCTTCTATAGGCCATTGCTCCCCTTGCCTCTCTGAGGGGGCCCGGTTCTGGCCGTGGTCCCCGGTAGGCCTAAGAACTCCATACACATGACTGATGCCAAAGTCTGACATTAGCATATCAGCCTGAGATAGCTCCGGGGAGCCGACGGGGCTCCCCCCAGAAAATTATTTAAATTAACTTTAGAAAAGAAATTTGCTAAAATATACAAACTAAATTTCTCTGAATTGTAAAATTTGGTAAATTATTATAAAATACAGTAATTACATAAATGAGCCCGATAAAATCAACAGGAAATCAATATGTGCACACTGCAACATATCATAAAATATTAAAGCCCTAAATTTAAATATTGCTTAATTAAGGGGGCATAACGTTTAAAATCTTTATAAATTAAAAGTTGTTCAATTTGCTTATAAATTTATTTATGAAATGGTTATAGAAAGGGCTGCAACTGGTCCAAGTTTCACCATCACTCCCTAAACAGAAAAGGAGAAAAAAAATACACAACATATTATGCAACGAATGTTCAACATTCTCAAATAATCTCAGGGAACACATGTGTCAACTAAAATGTCTACTATGTGCTGTAGAAAACTTTGAATAATTATATTATTGTACTAAACACTTTTTTGATAAAACTACTTACAACAATCCTTTATTATATGCTAATTTTAATATCCGAGTGTTATAGAAAGGATTTTAGTTGACACATGTGTTCCCTGAAATTATTTGAAAATGTTGAAAAATCGTTGCATAATATGTTGTGTATTTTTTTTCTCCTTTTCTGTTTAGGGTGTGATGGTGAAACTTGGACCAGTTGCAGCCCTTTCTATAACCATTTCATAAATAAATTTATAAGCAAATTGAACAACTTTTAATTTATAAAGATTTTAAAAGTTATGCCCCCTTAAGAAAATGTAGACCTCATCTTAAAACATGTTTGACTTATACCAGCAATAAACTGGCTAAAGAAAGCTAAAAAGCAACAGAGTATCGAGGTTCTACTTTATTTTTACCCTTGATTACCTCTTGAAAATTTATGAACTGTCGATCATGTTATCTATATTTTTTAGAAAAATAATATTTCTGTATATCTGGCACTGAATGATGACACATTCTCTAATTTCTCATTTGATTAATACTTTGCCAACAGAAACTAGACATTTGTACATAAGAGTTTTTTCAGTTAAAATTTCCTTAGAGTTCTTCATGAACAGCATGTCTCTCAACGTGGAATGCTTTCATATGTACATTATAGTTGCTTTTTTGAGTAAAATCTTTGCGGCAAATGGTACACTCATATGGCATTTCACCCGTGTGAATCCTGACATGATTGTCAAGATTATATTTCCGAAAGAAAGCTTTACCACAAAAGGCACACTTGTGCTGCTTTTCACCAGAATGCTCACGCACATGCAACTGCAAATTGTTTTTATGAATAAAAGATTTTCCACATTCATTGCATGTGAAAGGACGAATGTTTTTATGACTACGTATATGAGCTTCTAAATCTTTTTTCCGATGAAAGCTTCGCTCACATAGCTTACATTTATGTGGCCTATCACGCACACCCATATGAACCCATTTATGAGCATCTAAGTTACACTTCACTGCAAAACTTCTGTTACATATATTGCACTTAAAAGGCTTTACCCCAGTATGCGTCCGTAAATGTAATGCGAGTGAAGATTTCTTAAACACTTTGCAGCATACATGACATGTTGAATTGTTTTCAGATTTTCCATCAGATGTTTGGTGCTGCGGATTATGTTTCTGACGAATGTGTTTAGTCAAACTGGACTGGTGAATGAAGCACTCTCCACATTGTTGGCATTTCTTAGGCCATCTTTCGTGAGTTTCTTGATGCCATGCTAATTTTCTCTCGGAGGGAAAGACCTCATTACACGTTTTACACATAAAGTCCCTACGTACCTTAGTTTTCCCTTTGTGTTTTGAATGTGCTTTAAACTTGTGCTTATTTAAACATACAATATTTTTATATGTCTTATGACAGACATCACAGTCAACCTCTTGGCCATCCATATGAGTAACCAAGTGCCGCTTAAGAGATTGTGGTGTTGTGAAGGCACTACTACATGATGCACACTGATAAGGTCGTTCACCAGTGTGGGTCCTTGAGTGCACTTCTAACTCTGATCTCCTTTGGAATCTCCTACCACATTCCTTGCATTCAAATAGCACCAAACCCATGTGAAAAAGCTGATGCTGAGACCAAGAATAACGGTTTGGATAAAGGCGATTACAAATGAGACACTTAAGGTCTTCCTTAGTGTGTGTCTTCATGTGCTTTAGCTTTGTTAGTCTCTTTTTGAATACCACGTGACATATCTGACACGTGACACGAGATTTAAAGATCATTTTTCGATGTTCAAAGAGTGTCTCTGCAGATGGAAAGCCTAAATTACATTCAGGACACTTGTATTCTCCATTTGAAGCAAATGACTCCAGCATTGTACGAGTCTCCTCTTGCATTGTACTCAATTCTATCTTACACTTCAGAAGTGACAGACCTGGTTCTTCCTCAGCATCTTTTTTAATCCCAGATTGAGCTGATTTGACTTGTATTGCACTTCTAATTGCCCCCGATTTTTCCATGGCTTCAGCACAAGGTGAATGCTGACCAGCATGGAGTAATTTTTCCTTAAGACTCTTGAACATTTTATTACACACGAGACATTTCCAGTGATCGAGGTCAAGAGGACCACGATTGATCACACCAGAGTCAGAATCACTATCACCATAACAATCAGACTCATATTCAAATTCATAGTCTTCATCTTCTTTGGCAGGTTTTGGAAGGGTTGAGCCTTGAAGACCAGATGTTGATGGGATTGGAGACAGCTGACGATTCAGGTTGTTGCAGCTGTATTCTAGTGCTAGCATCTGTTTTAAGAGAAGTTATTAGTAAACTTTTTGTATTCATTAATTGCATAATTGTACTTTGAGCTGCATTACAGTTCACACATCTCTAAGGAAAAAATTCAATATTAAAAACAATGCATTGAAAAGTGCATTACACATTTATGAAAATAATCTTATCATTTACACTCAAATACAGGTATACAAAAAAACACTTAAATTATGCACAGCACATGTCAGCCATGCTACAACTTCCAATGGTTATTCCCATCACATTATGACAATAAAGCAGCCACCACAAGAATTTAACAATACAGTAGTGTACTGGTATATCCAACGAGAAACGTTTTGGTAGTACACGGAAAATCACAGCTATCTCCAGATTGGCATATCTCTGGATACAGAGTGAGGTAATAAGCAGGGAGGTTGTCTGATTTAATGCAACAAGAATTATAATGAAGTCACCTTTGTGCTTTGCCATTGTTGACATGGGAACCATAATGTTTTGCTGCTACAAATAATTTCTGAGGAACTGTATCTGCAGTAACTGTACTGCTGTACTTTATGACTCGTGGGTCACTACTGACCTCTCATTATCACAGAGGTGGTAATGAGAGGTCAATAGTGTAATTACCTAAGTGTAGTTACAGGATGAGAGCTACGCTCGTGGTGTCCCGTCTTCCCAGCACTCTTTGTCATTAACGCTTTGAAACTACTGACGGTCTTGGCCTCCACCACCTTCTCACTTAACTTGTTCCAACCGTCTACCACTATTTGCGAAGGTGAATTTTCTTATTTCTTCGGCATCTGTGTTTAGCTAGTTTAAATCTATGACCTCTTGTTCTTGAAGTGCCAGGTCTCAGGAAATCTTCCCTGTCGATTTTATCTATTCCTGTTACTATTTTGAACGTAGTGATCATATTGCCTCTTTTTCTTCTATCTTCTAGTTTTTGCATGTTTAATGCCTCTAATCTCTCCTCGTAGCTCTTGTCCTTCAGTTCTGGGAGCCACTTAGTGGCATGTCGTTGCACCTTTTCCAGTTTGTTGATGTGCTTCTTAAGATATGGGCACCATACAACCGCTGCATATTCCAGCTTTGGTCTAATAAAAGTCGTGAACAATTTCTTTAGTATTTCTCCATCCATGTATTTAAAAGCAATTCTAAGGTTAGAAAGTGTAGCATAGGCTCCTCGCACAATGTTCTTAATGTGGTCCTCAGGTGACATTTTTCTATCTAAAACCACCCCTAGATCCTTTTCTTTATCAGAATTCTTTAAAGATTTCTCACATAATTTATAGGTTGTGTGGGGTCTATGTTCTCCAATTCCACATTCCATAACATGGCATTTATTCACATTAAATTCCATTTGCCAAGTGTTGCTCCATATACTTATTTTGTCCAGGTCTTCTTGAAGGGCATGACAATCATCTAAGTTTCTTATCTTCCCTATTATCTTAGCATCATCAGCAAACATGTTCATGTAATTGTGTATTCCCACTGGTAGATCGTTTATGTAGACAATGAACATTACCGGTGCAAGAACTGAACCCTGAGGTACTCCACTCGTGACATTCCTCCAATCCAATACCTTGCCTCTGATTATGGCCCTCATTTTTCTGTCAGTTAGGAAATTTTTCATCCATGTTAGTAGCTTACCTGTCACTCCTCCAATATGTTCCAGTTTCCAGAACAACCTCTTATGGGGAACTCTGTCAAAAGCCTTTTTTAGGTCCAGATAGATGCAGTCAACCCAACCATCTCTTTCCTGTAAAATCTCTGTGGCTCGATCATAAAAACTGAGCAAGTTCGTTACACAGGATCTTCCAGATCGAAAACCACACTGTCTGCCTGATATTATATCGTTTTCCTCCAAGTGTTCTACCCATTTAGTTTTAATTATTTTTTCCAATATTTTAACTATTACACTTGTCAATGATACAGGCCTATAATTAAGGGGGTCTTCCCTGTTTCCACTTTTGTAGATTGGAACTATGTTAGCCTTTTTCCACACATCAGCTACAGCTCCTGTACACAGGGATGCCTGAAAAATCAGTTGAAGTGGAATGCTGAGCTCAGGTGCACATTCTCTCAGAACCCATGGTGAAACTCCATCTGGACCAACTGGTTTGTTCTTACTTAGCTCCTTGATCATTTTTTCCACTTCGTCTCTAGACACCTCTATGTGCTCTATGTTGTTCTCTGGAATTCTTATTGTATCTGGTTCCCTAAAGATTTCATTTTGTACAAACACACTCTGGAACTTTTCTTTAGTGTTTCACACATTTCCTTTTCATCTTCCGTGAATCTATTTCCCCATTTTCAACCTCTGAATATTATCCTTTACCTGCAATTTGTTGTTTATGAATTTATAGAATAGACCTGGTTCTGTTTTACATTTGTCTGCAATCCCTTTTTCAAAATTTCTTTCTGCCTCTCTCCTCACTGCCGTGTAGTTGTTTCTCGCATCTTTGTATCACTGGTATGTTTGGGGGTTCGGCCTCTTCCTGTATTGATTCCATTTTTGTGTCTTTTGGTCTCTAGCCCTCTCGCAATTTCTATTGAACCAATCCTGTTTCCTAGTTCTGCATCTCTGTTTTGGTATAAATTTTTTTGTGCCTTTATCATATATTTCACAAAACTTGACATACATCTCATTCACTTCCTTGCCTAGCATCAAGTCTGTCCAATTATACTCACTAAAAAAATTTCTAAGGTCACCATAATGTCCTCTCCTGAAGTCTGGTTTTTCAACTGCTTCAACCTCCTTATTTTCTTCCAGCTTATAACGCATTGCATACTTTATTCCCAAAAAGACATGGTCACTTTTACCCAAGGGAGGAAGGTACTGAATGTCAAATATCTCTTCCTCCTTCCTGGTAAATATCAAATCTAGCATGGAGGGAACGTCCCCTTCCCTCATCCTCGTAGCTTGTTTAACACGTTGATACAAGAATGTTTCCAGGATGAGGTCTACAAATTTACAGGTCCAAAAATCTTCTGTTTTAGCTTCATATGCTTCCCAGTCTATGGATTTCAAGTTGAAGTCAGCGACTATCAACAGTCGTGATCTATCGTTATCCGCTCTCGCTATAATCTCTCATTATTGTTATAAGACCTTCACGTTTACTATCTAGCTCCTCCTTTGACCATGTGCTGCTTGGCAGTGGACTATATGCATTTATTATCATTAGTTTATCATCCTCATGGCAGATCTCTAGTGCTATTATGTCAACTTCTTGTGGATTGGCAGTCATTATTTCGTGTGGTCAAGGAACAGGGCAGGGGCAGTATCCAGAGGAGTGAAGTCCATGTCAGATACACCAGTGTTCATAAAAGTGGATTGTAAGTTGAACAAATAATCAGTGTCCATCATGTCGGTGGCAGTGAGACTGCAAGCGAACTCTGCCCGAGGCAACGAACTTGTTGTGGAAGCCAGACTTCATACACAGTTTAAAATGTAGATATGATAAGAGTTCAATAAGTTTGAAAACCTGTACACCAACTAATTGAAAGTTAAAGAGATAGGACCACAGCACCAATGCTCAATCCCTACAAGCAAAATTAGGGTTAACATTGTACAGGAATTTAGGCTCTGAAACTGCAGGAGGTGAGAGTGATAAAACATCACCCAAACAATACTGGGTGATGTTTTTTGTACTGAAGGTCCTAGTCAAAACTTTGCGATCATTATGAGTGATATACAGTAATGATTAATAGTAAATATGACTATTATTATTTTTTATTATTAGGGAAAGCAACAAACTGAATGAGAAAAAGGGACAAATAATTTGTGCTTATTTTGCAGCTTAAATACTCTACACACAATTCCTTGGTAAGTACTGTATGCTTATTTTTTGTATTTACGATGACATTCTGTATGGTAATGAAAGATTTATAGCCTTCTATGACATTCCTTACACCATTTTTTTATATTTTATTTTGTTTACAATCTAAAAGTAATGGCACTGGAAAGAGTAGGTCAGTAGGTCATCAATATACTTTCTGTATATAGATAAAATAATTTAGTCCTATTCAGATAAGCAAAGTACTGTTAGGGACCCAAAACAGAAGGCACAACTGAAAAGTTAGGCCTTTCATCCAGATTAGATTAGTTTTCATCCTAATCCAGATTACCTGACTTTCCAAAGTACAGTATATAAAACACTCAGTTGAGAGGTGGGACCAAAGAGCCAAAGCTCAACCACCACAAGCACAACTAGCTGAGTACATTTATGCAGTCAAGAGTATTTCCAGTCTAATAAATTTAAATGATGGTGTATTGTGAAACTAATAAAATCAAATTTGAGATAAATATGAGGACTTGTCCATGGACTCTTTATGAAATCAGCACAAATCTAGCAGGTTCATCATTACCCTTCGTTCTTGTGGGTTCCATGACATGTTGACTTAAGGTTTTGACTCCTGCAAACAGCAGTCATTAATCATCATCTCTTGTACTGTACTGAAGTATTGACTGAAATTTCAGTGATACAGCAAAAAGAGGTCGATATCATTGGTACAACTGGGTTTGTGTCTGCATATTTATTTGAATTTCTATCTGTAGCAATCTCTATTATCCATAAAAAAAAAATATATTTACTTACCATTTTCCTAAAAATCTTTTCCCTTTCTTTAATAACCAATATTTAAACTACAAAAATAAAATCATCCCAGGTTTTGTACAATATAAAGCATTCCTTTTAATACGAACTTTAATTCTACCCATTTCATATCCTGCTACAGTATTTCTAAATATCAAATTAAAAGCTTACCTTAGAGCTTAGTTTTGAATCTTCCATCAAGTCAGCAAAGGTAACATGTGATGGAGCTGATGAAACTCCATTATTAATATTTGAAATGGAGGCTGAAGTTCCAATTTCTTGATGGGATGTGGAAAACAACTGAGTAATGCTAAGTCCATCTGGTGGCAAAACAGTGCAACATTCATCTGCAGCAAGATGCATCGTGGCATCTGCCGGAGTCATTTCTACGACACCATCTTCTGTATGACCTCCAACTAGGGCTGAGAGAGATACAGGCTGTGCTGATTCAATCTGTTCGGAAAAAAATCTATTTTAGCAACCAATAAATTTACTGGTAATCTGGCACTCATAATAAGTGTGCTCTTGATATTTTACCTCACAAAGTAATGTCAATATTCCTGAGTGGTGGGCTATAGAATGTTTCATAGCCACTTAAAATGGCTCCCAGTCAAATACTGCTGACATTGATACCACTTGATCTTGCTGATCAAGTGCTATATTACTCGAGTGTCATCAGTCGCAGAGTTCTTTGTTGCCTACCTGACCTCCCTGCCAGAAACTAACAACCTTGGAGAGGTGCAAGGGAGCAATGGCCTATGAACACTTTAGATTTAATGTATATCATACATGCCATTGACCAGGGAAGGTGTCCAGAAAAGTAGGCTAAACAAAACAGACCACTGCTTGAAAATTGGTTGAAAATTGAGACCCACATACTCAAAATAGCAAAAGTACAAAAGGTCCCCAGAATGATGAAAAAAAACATCCAACTAACCCCTGCTCTTTAGCAGGGGGTTAGTTGTTTAGTTGGCTCCCCCTTTCCCCACGAAGGGTAGGGGGAGCCAGCCCGGGTGAGTTGAGACACCCCCAGTCAGTTCTTTGACTGATGCCGTGCCGAGTGCTCATTGTTGCTCTGGCTCCATGTTCTAATATTTTCAACCTTGTGGCAGTGTGCATGTAGCCAGGAGTTTCCAGTACTGGAGCAGCATGTGCCTAGGGCCATCTTCCCAAGGTGCTCTGTAAGTACTGTACTGCCCGTGTGTGATCAGGGTTATCTTCCCTGGGGCGTTTGGGATTCACTCTCCGTTAGAGGACTGCCTCACTAGTGGTTGTCTTTACCCTTGGAATAAGTCGGGGGTCTTGGGCTTTCTGCACTGCCTCGGGTAGGGGAGTGTTTAACGGCTGATGGGGTGCACTGCAGCTGGCACAGCCTGCTTAAGCCATTACGTGGCAGCCAACGTTTCTCTCTGACTGCTTATTGGCTGTTGTAGAGTTTCGGGGGTTTCTTTTTTTTTGTTTTCATTTGCTGGCAATTTTTTCCTGTTTTGCAGAGGAGTTTTGTTTAGCACCTCATTAGGCTTTGCCGAGGGTGTGGTAAAGTGGTCATCCTCTTACCCCCGAGGCTTTATGGTGGCTGCTTGCAATCAGTTTGCCTGCATCAACAGGGTTTATGGGCTTCACTGGCCCCAGTGACTGGGCTTCCTGTAGGGCTCCTTCACCATACAGGCCCTGGAAAACCCTTGCTGCTCGGTCGTACCATGGCTACTTCTTCCAAGCCCACTCTTGCCTTGGGCGAATTCGAGGGTTGTCCATCGCCCCTCCCTCAAGGTGACAATCATCCCTTCTGCCTCCACCATGCTGCCTGTTGGATCAGGAACACTTATGATCTGGAGTCTTGTGCGACTTGTTCCCCGCTAGTGCTCCAGTTCACTCATCCCTTATCTGATACTGTATTTTGCAGGTTAATGCAGCTGCCACATTGCATGAACGTTTCTCTATGCTGCAAGGGGCCAGGTTGATTGCTCATTTGGAAGCCCAGGAGCTGCCCCGCTTGGGTTTAAGGGACTCAGATTTAGGGGCATTGGTCGCTTTGGCCCTTGGTTCAGGTCACGCCCTCTCTTCCTTCCTAGGTGGGCATGGTTTGCCCGGTTCCTCTCCTGCTTCTGGCTCCCAAATGTTTGAGGGGTTCGGAGTCGGGGCGGGGTTAAGCTCGGGTGGAGACTCGGGTGGCTTGGGAAGCTTCCTGTTCTGACACGGACGCAGAGGTGGTCGAGTCTCTCCTTCCCGCTGAGGTTTCAGAGTCGACCCACCCAACTCCATTCTTCGAAGCATTTTCCCTGGACTCTGCCTTTCCTTCTGGGGGAGTGGGCAGGGATGAGGGCTATGTTCCTGGGCCTGTGACATTGGTTTCCGGGGCTCTATGGGAATCCGCATGGAGCTCTTAGGTTCTGTTTAATTCTGCTTGGGGCCTTTGTGCTCTCTACACAGGGGGGGCTTCTGCAGGGGAGGGGGTTTTTGTACCCTCCTTCCCCTTATGAGTTTGGGTTTGCCCCCCCCCCCCCAGTTCGGGTTTGGTCTCCATTGGGTTCCTTGGATTCATCTTTCTGGAGGTTTACCTCCTCTAGGATTTTTCCTACAGAGGTTTGGGAGGTTCTCGGTGCTTACATCTTGCGGAACCTGGTTTACGCCTCGGTAGTGGATCTGGGTTTCTTTGAGTTTGGTTCTTTTTCCAAATATTGAGTATTACGTGGTTCTGGTATCTTCCTAGCTGGCAGACTATCCCTTCTTTTCTCTGAGGCTTTGCGTGGCTTTTGTCGTACCTGCATGCATAAGTGGCGGGAGGTTACTGCTATTTGCAGATGTTCTTGGGGAAGGGGGGGGGGGGAGGCTCTCTCGAGTCCTCAATGAGTGCCTCTTCGCTCTTAGGCTTCCTCATGATGTTGGTCTGGTACAGCTTCATGCTCAGGTACCCACTCTTTTGGCTGCTTTGGTGGCCAATGACTTGCGGACTTGTAGTTCCTTCGCCTATGTCTTGCGATTCTTCGGTCCTTCTTGGCGGGCTTTGTGTCGTTTTCTTTCTCTTCGTAGGGTTTCGCCTGTCCGTCAAGTTTCTTGTGAATGACTCAGGCCCTCTGCAGCCTTGTGTTGCTTTGGCACATCTGTTGCAGCTGACTGTCTCTTCTTTGAATTGAGACCTGCTGTGCTGCCACTTCCCCTAGCAAGTTCTTGTTTTACCTTCTCTGTGGGTAGTTAGCTTCAGGGAGCCAATGGGGCTCTCTACAGAAAACCAGCGTTGTATGTAATGAAACACCATTTTCTGGGTGAGCCCCGGAGGCTCCCCTGATACCCTTCCTCCCTCTCTATGGTCGGTGGTTTTCATCATTCAAATACTGTAACTGACTGAGGGTTTCCCGACTCACACGGGCCAGCTCCCTTTCCCCCTCATGGGATAGTAGTGGTGGTGCTAATGAGCTGGGGGTTAGTCGAATGAAGTTTTGCTTGTTTGCTTTCTGGGGGAATTCTTTTGCTCTTGAGGACCTGGGTCGCAATTTTCAACTAGGCAATGGTCTGTTTTGTTTTGCCTAGCTTTCTGGGTGCCTTCCCTGGTCAATGGCACATATGAGGTACTTTAACTGTTAAGTGTTCATAGGTCATTGCTCCCTGTGCCGCTCTGATGGGGGAGGGGGGGGAGCCAGGTTCTGGCTTTGATCCCTGTTAGGCAACAAATTACTCTGCGATTGATGACACTCAAGTGCCACACTATTTGAAGAAGCATTACTTGAAGTTTCAGGAAGCCTCTGGGGTCCCCAGAGAAATTTGCATTTCATTACATTCAACATTTTTTTTTTAAACTTGGAACATCAAAAGGTTCTTAAGTACCCAAGGATCAGTGACTTTACTGTGACAGACAAGTTGGCAATGTGGCAGCACCACTTGTTGGAGTTAGTCAAAAAATGTTTGTTAGACTGTATAGTGCCAGCAATGTTGAGTTGGAGAATGTGTTGTAGAGTTCCATAAAGTGTTGTCAGTGTGAGGTTGGAGAATATGTCACAGACCACCAAGTGGTGCTATCAGTGAGGGACTGAAGGTCATTCCTCCCCACAAGTGATATGTTAAAACGTCTCTATAAAATTATGGTGACCTTCCCTGCATCAAACTCGATAAGAAAGCTAAAAAGAAATGAATGTATATACTATATATGAATAAACATTTTCAACCATGACTGTTTAGACAAAAATGGTTACAGAAAGTTTTCCATATTCTAAAATATTAATAAATTGTAAATATTAATATTGGCTGTCAATTCAGCCAATGGGGATAAATATGTACTGTATAGTGTACTATAAACATAAAGAGAATTTGGTTTACATTACAAGAACACATATTACATAAGATCATTTACTATATAATATATTGACCTACCTGCACAGCATGGTCAAGAGGTGTAATAAGAGCTGGCGTCAAAGCATGGAAGGCTGAAGAGTCTATTGATGGATATGCTCTTGGTGAGAGGTTTGCTGGACCTGGCTCACCAGCAAACATGCAGCTTCGATCATAGAACATGAGCTACCAAGAAAAGCATTCAGTTAATGTACTGCATCTCAACATTCCGATGAAATAAAATTGTTCTACATTCATGTACATAATATACTGTATGCTCTTTTGAATATCATCTCTACTGGATTAGGGCTGTGCTGTAAAATTCTCCAATATCTGCAGCAAGAACCAACTAATCCATGGTCTGGATTACAGATGTGGCATTAAGTTAAAGGGCTATGCAGAAAGTTGAGCTGTATAGTGATTTCAGTGCATTAACTTATGATGTGCAAACCAAATCAGTTTAATCAGCATTATATGCCAGAAAGACCTTTTACTCAATATAATATGAAAGTATACAGTATTCAACTGCTTTTCATATCAGCAGTTTTTCATATAAAATTCTCCTCTTTCTAATTGAATGACATCTGTCGAGTTTATCACAGCCACCCATTACTTGCCTTAGAATCATTCATGCATAAGGTATTACAGCTACCTTATGTAATTGCATCACCCAAGTGTAATTCCTTGAACATGATACTGCATACGCTACTGTAAACAGCCATGTCCAGCTCTTCACATTTTGAATATCTTAAGTGTTTTTCTGTAAAAACATTTCCCATTAATATTTTGTCTAATGCTGACAAACTTTACTCCAGTACTTGTTTTCTCTGCTATTTGACATCAAAATCAGAAACAATACTAGTGTTAATGACATATTCCCCTGCCAACTGCTTTGCTCCCTACCAGATTCAAGATTCATGATTAATTCAGCCTTCTTGTCCAGGGTAAAGAGGGTTCTCATAACTTTACCTGATATAGCCTACCTACACTTTATTAGACAATCGGTTTTCAGCACAGAAAATAACGATTAATAATAAGTATACAAATGCTTGAGTAATGAGGGGGGGGGGGGTCTCACTCACATGAAGACAAAATATATACTGTATGGTTATACAGTACATGTGTATTAACAGTAGGTGTACAAATTCCCACAGAAAAAAAAATCACATACTATTTTGTACCTTTTATGGTACAGTACAAACCATTATATCATTTATAAAAACTATTTTTTGTAATAATAATAATTACCTTCTAAACACACAGGAATGGTGGAAATATGAATTGCTGGAAATGACTATAGTATATAGACAACACAAAGTTAATGGTGACTGGTTGCATATGTGAATCCAGGACAAACCCCAAATGGGTGACCATAGGATAATTGGCTAGTTATTGGGGAGGGGGGGGGGGGGGAATGATCTGCTAGAAAGAGGTCCAGATTATTATAAAGGTAAACAATACCTGTAAAAGCCACTTAACTTTTAACTACTTACATCTTGTAGTTCCTCATGTGGTGTGGCTCTCTCACTGTCACTGTCAGCTAAGGTTTCTGATGCTTTCAGGGACATAACTTCCTCTGTCTGCTGGCTATTCAACTCTCGCTCAAACATTTGGTCATCTTGAAAGATGCTTTCATTTGCAAAATCCTCAACTAGACTTGGATCATCCACCAGCTCTTCCTCCTGTTCTTGAGTTGATATTTCTAATTTTCCCATATTGGAAGACCTGAGTGCTGACTGGTTTTGAGAAGTTTGATTAATATGATAAGATGCTGTTCTACTTGTTGTGGAAGAATTAGGCTGTGAAGAAGTATGAGGTTCAATCTTGCATTTTACTTCATGTTTTTTCTCTTTCTGATTTTCACCAAGTGCAGAAGGCATGCATGGATGCTCCTCATAGACACTTACATAAGAATTACTCACTTTTCTTGGAAGGTTTTTTTGACTAGATGGTCCATTCATAATTGATGAACTTGTACTTGGTAGGTGTGACGAATTATCCCCAGCAAAGACCTCCTCAACAGCTCCAAGCACTTGTTCTTCTACATATACCATTTCCTGCAGAGTCGAGTCATCTAAAAGGTTATTGAGGGTGCGATCAGATGTCAAAAAACTAAGAGGTGGGTCATCACAGCAGAGCACATTTTGATTCTGTTCTTCATTCCTATTTGTTTGCCTATTTTGGTTTGCAGCACATGATGCTTGGTTAACAGTATTTAGATCACCAGTTATTCTTTGAGTGTTACAGATGTCAATATTAATGCTGGAATCGCTAACTTCAATCTTTCTACGTACAGTTCGCTTTGATCGTATTTCATCATTATTACCTTCAGCACAAGAACTGATTGTAAAAAGATTCTTACTGCCCTCCCTATCATAAGAAACCTTATCAGTGCGAACATTAATTGCAGAGGTATGAATATGAGACGTACCAATAGAACCAGAAGCACAGCTACTGTGACCCCTGTCATCAAAGATAACCTCCATTGGTTCATCTACTGGTATGTTGTATGGACTTACAGTTTCATGGCGTGTGAAACTCTCAAGACCATTTTCAATTGTTATGTTATGAGCAGGCAAAGGTACATTTGAATCAATATGAATGTTAGAAGAAACATGAAATTCTGAACTGCTTCTGCACCTGCTTGATATTGGTACAACCAAGGTTGTTGCCAAGGGATCAACATCTTGTTTACTTTCGCTATACTGCTTTTGTTCATCATCGAAATCTTGTGTATTATCACTCTCGCCTAAATCGGAATCTATCCTTAAAGGATTTTCTTCTATACATGCTTCAGAGATATCCCCTGGAAGTCCATTAGATGAAGAGACACTTACATCAGTTTTCACTTCAAAGCAAATTGGTTCACTTTTGGTAGGAAAGAAGTCCATCTTCCTCCTCTCAGCACTAGTTGTTGGTTGACTTTCTGTTTGGTCACTCTCTCCCTGACTATCGTTCATTAATAATGCTCTAACAAGTTCCTGGTTTATAATTTCTTTAAGTCGGTTCTTCTGCCCAACTAAATCCTTGGGCAATGAAATACTAATATTTTTCCCTATATTTATAGTTGCTTTTTGGGATGTTGCTGGTTCATTTCTTGTCTTGAAATAATTCCTACTACTATTCAAAAGATTTTGGCTTGTGGTTGCATCCATTCTGTACGAGTTCTCCACAGAAAGAACGTGAACTTCATCTTGCGTTTGTTGAGAACATGTTTCCTCAATGTAACAGATGGGAGCTTCCGGTAAGTGTGGTCTCGGAGTTCTACGAGGTATATTGTTATAAATTCCTCCCACCACTGTACCTGGCCCACCAATAGATACAGGAGTGGGAGGTTGATGTTTAATAGGTACAGTCTGTGTTGCTGTGGTCGGTGTCTGAACAAAAATGGTCTGATTGGTCGGTGGTGCAGCAGCAAGCACAAGCCCTCCAGAACTAGGAATTAGATAGCTCACTCCATTGTTTGCTAACTGTAAATTATTAGGAATTACACTTCCAGCAGGAAACATGTTGTTACCAATAAGGAGATAATTGTTTCCTGTGGCACCATGCTGCAATGGAGTTGCTAGTGGCATGCCATTACGAGGAGGCTGTATCAGAGGTCCAAGGGATCCTAGCCGTACAGGTTGTGTTGGGGTCGGGTGAGGTGCAGAAGGTGCTTGAGGTAAGGATGTTAGAGAAGCCCCCAGTGTTTGTTCATGAGTTGGATTCCCAGTAAGCAGTAATGGTGCTTGACTCGTGGTAGGTCTAGGTGAGATGGGAGTCACATTTGTCGCAGATGGCATAGGGTAAGAGACCCTGCGAGACCGCCCAGGTGGCCGTCGATTAGCTAATTCTGGCAGCGGATGGCCATTTGTTACTGCACGGATAATTTCTTCTTTGCTGTGGCGAGACAGATGTTGAGTCAAGTTGGGCTGGTTGTAGCCACATACTGGACACACACCAGCACTGCCTGTAGTGCCCCCAGTAACACTCGCACCTTCGCCACCTGCCATACTTCTGAAAAATATATTTAAGGGCCAATTAGAATAATTTGAGGCATTGTAATTCTGCAAAATAAAAACATTTCTGCATCCATGTTAATCATAAAATTAAAACTGCATAATAATGCTTACCAAAGTGATAACTACATAGTTCTCTGTTACAGTGTAAGGCAGCTTTACTGAAAATTTTAGGTCATAGTACAGTATTTTCAATATTTTAAATGATCCCTAATAAAGAGCAGCTCATTTATCAGTAAAAAAAAAAAACATCAAAATTACATTAAAACTTGTCTCACTGGTCATCATCCTTATTGTTGGGGGCTGGAAGCCTGCAATTAGGTCCTGGCAGCCCCTCGGCCAACTACTGACATTCCTCAGGATGCAACACACAATTGTCTAACTCCTGGGTACACATTTTACTGCTAGGTGTACAGAAGCATCAGGTGAAAGGAAATGAGCTCACAATTTTAACCCTGCCTGGGGACTGTACCCAGCTCCTTTGATTGTGAGCCGAGGACTTTGACCATTGCTACTACAAAAGTGTCGTAATATAGTACAGTATACAGCACTGTACTATACAGCACCATAATGTGAGAGCACCAGGCTCTCACAAGTCGAGCCTGGCCTCGGGCCGGGCTTGGGGAGTAGAAGAACTCCCAGAACCCCATCAACCAGGTATCAAGCAGCTATAATGGTGATCTCTGGTACAAGAACAAAGTCCACACACACATTATATTACATAATATAACCTGAATTTGATCACTGGTTGAATACTGCCTAATAATTAAAAAATTTAGGCATATACAGGTATATAATTAATGTTTGAGGTCAAACTTTAATTTTTAAGATCTTAAATACATGTAATTAAAAACTCTTAAAATATATTGTAAATACAGTAGATGCAAATTTTGTGCAAGTCCTTTAATAGATGCAAATTTTGTGCTAGTCCTTTAATAGATGCAAATTTTGTGCAAGTCCTTTAAATGATTTGGGTACATGTATAAATTGGCTAAGAGCTTAATTTTCACCAAATTTATATTTTTCCTTTAATTGCACCCACCACCCAAAATTAAGTATGTACAAATTTACATACTGTTGCATGGTTGGCAATGCTGATTTCTTTATGGTGTCATTTGTGAAGTAAAGTCAATATAAATTCAGTTCTTAAAGTGTGTTCAAGCTTGGAAGGTAAATTTGTTTGCTAGACAAGAATATGCCAATTAACCAAACAGCCTAATAACATCATATTTTTTTAAGCACAGCTAGTCATGGATGATTTGCAGATTAATTTACAAATGGTTTTGTAGTAGGGAAAGGCAAATAGACTATAGGTTTACAGTTGTTCTTTAATAGGAGAGCAACAGAAAGTTGCGTATTCTGGTTGGCATGTTGCATGCCTTATATTTTTTGCACATTGATCATCATTTTGAATAAGGGGTAACCAGAAGACCCATCATTCAGTTTTAATTATTGTTATGTAGCTCAACTCTCCCTTGGGGGTGGAATAATTGTTATTGTTCAGCTGAGAGCTGGTCTTAACAGGCGACATCTATCTACTCAGTGTTCAGGAACGGGACACGTCCATGCACGGCTCTTAAGGGCTAGAGAATGTTGCCATCATTGTTCTCACTTTTATCTAAAAGTTATTATGAATGATTTACCTGTACCTTTAACAAGTACAGTTGCCAGAAATAATGTAACATTACATTTAGTTCCATTTAACTTGTCTGTGTTGGTGCAATGTACAGTATGTGTTTTAGGACTAATATACAGGTTGGTAAATGTATTGTTGTTAGCTGTGGGGTGAGGAGCTACTCCATCCACGTGGGCTGGAGGTGTTAGTGGCCATGTGACTCTGAAGGAGGAAGGAAGTGTGGCTGTGGGCTAATTATTGGTTAGGTTCAGAAATTTATTTATTCTTTTTTGCATAAGTATATATTTAACTGACAGTTGTAACTCAGTATCTTGTAGTTCATAATATTAAAGTTCAAGTAAGTTTAGTGAGATAATTGGCGAGACCCCTGTTCGGGTCTCGCCAAGGCAGGATAGGGCAGCCAAGCGGGAAGCAGCATCCTGAGAAGGAGCAGCAACGACACGTGTACCGAGACGAGTGGGGTTGAAAGTAATGGAGGCATCCACGGAATCAACGAGATGTCGATGGAGGGAGAAATCGTCAGGAGGCACAGAATCAAGAGGGAGGAGATTAAAATATTGGCCCACGAAGCGGGACCAAACAAGGCTTGATAGGTAGCAGAAAAGGAAGGAATCGAGCGAGGGCGGCCGTGACGAGGACGGCGGTGAGAACCCCCAGAGAGAGGGGTTAAAAGGCACAGTAGTTACAACTAGAGAAGGAGCCGCGCCAGGGGACGAGGTAGTCACCACTGGGGGCTTGGGGCTCGACCCAACCACAGAGGAGGGAGGGGAGCCAGGGGAAGGAGTCAGAGAGGCCAAAGGTCGGGGCCCAATGCAGCGGAGGCTACAGAGCCCGGTCTTCCAATACGGACCGACTCGGAGGCTTATTCTCCCACCCCACGAGCCTGAGAAGGTAAACCAGAAGCAGCCGAAACAGGGGTTATCATCATCACGAAAAGAAGAATTCATTCACGAATGTGCCCCCACACCCACCATGGAGCCACAATTAGAGGCAGGACACCCAACAAAAAGCTATCGCCGATCTTGCCGGGGCCTCCTAGGGGTGCGTCATGTGTATACGCCCCACAAACGCCACCTTAAGAAACCGACAGTCCGTCGAGATCGGGTTCAGTGACGAAAGGGGGATTGACAATAAAAGGTTCCCCTCGCTCTCGACGTCGGGTACTACAGTTCTACGGGTGCAAGAGTATGCCTCCTCAAGCACCCGGGCATCAAAATAGAAGAAGTCCAAGGGAAGAACCAGAACGAGCAAAAGGTCGGCAGGAAACGGCAAGCAGATAGGAGAAGAGGGGGGAGTAAAACGAAACAGAAGGAAAAGAAAAAGATGCCCAGCAGAATTGGAGAGGACGGCAGCAGGAGCACAAGGCTAGAAAAGGACAGAGGACTGTCCCAAGGAGCATCACACTCCGACAGCCGCCCACTAAGCCCCCACACGGCGACAACGAGCTGAGCGGGGAGGGGGCACAATGTTGCAAACCAATAAGCAAACCGTTTGATTGTACAGTACTACCATACCGAGTTCATCAAATATGCAGGAAAACTAATACAAAATTAGAATGTAGGCTTATTTATAAAAGTATTTTGCAGAAACCATGTATATAAGGACTAAAGGAATAAATGGCACAGGAATGACATTATTTGGTTTTTAACCGATTAAAAGAACAAGTAATGTCATCTCACAGATGTAATATAGGGTAAAAAACCCACATTTGTGCATTTGTTTAAATTTATGTAAAAAATTTACACCAAGTTTTTCTCACCAAGAAAGATGCTCAGACCTTTGTCAAGGTCTGAGCATGTGACAATCTCAATGTTTAATGAGGCTACTATCCTGGGTCCAATCCTCTTATCCTTCTTGACCTCTCAACTCTCTCCGTATCCCCACGGAATGCAGCTAATGGGACTGCTTTCATTCGTCCATTTATTGAGATTTAATTTTAATTGCCTCAGAATCATTTTCCTAGTAAAGCTATCCTGAGAAGAAAAGCTTTTGTTGCCAGCAAACGTATTCAGAGTATAGTATTTATTAGCACCCCTTCCACTACCCTTCTAGTTCTAATATTATTAACTCCAGTTCTCAGAATAGCAGGATTACAGAACGGACACACGACCATAATTCCATAGGAGACATTATCGCAGGTACAGCAGCAGTCTGAAATACAGGTGACATGGTCAGGTCAAAATGGATAAAAGGATTGGACCCCAGGATAACAGCCTCATTAGACGTCAAGATGTAAGTTTCGTCCTAATCACATACGGACCTTGACAAAGCACTCAGGATGGTGCGAAAGACAATTCTTTACATAAAATTCACAAATACACAAGTGTGGGTTTTTATCCTAGATTATTAAAAAAATAAACATTTTTTTTTTTTTTTTTTTTTTTTTTGAGATATATACAAGAGTTGTTACATTCTTGTACAGCCACTAGTACTCGTAGCGTTTCGGGCAAGTCCTTAATCCTATGGTCCCTGGAATACGATCCCCTGCCGCGAAGAATCGTTTTTTCATCCAAGTACACATTTTACTGTTGCGTTAAACAGAGGCTACAGTTAAGGAATTGCGCCCAGTAAATCCTCCCCGGCCAGGATACGAACCCATGACATAGATTCTGGTAAATTTCAGTATGTGTGGACAAAAACTGTTCCACAAGGCATTGTCCTCACACCTACTCATCCTTAGAGCAAAGAAGAAAATCCACAGCCTTGTAGCATTTGCAAATAATATGGCAATTAAAATTGACTGAAGAAAGTACAGTACTGCAAACGTACAATCAGATCTCATTAATTTCCAGCATTTAACAAAAGTTACAAATTGTTTAACAGCGAGAAATTTTACTTTCTTTACTATTGGAAAAGACACAACTAAACATATTTACTAGATACAAGTCAGGGCCAGATAATTTTATAGAATAGGGGAACAAATAAATGCTATAATAATAATTTCAGAGCCAACATCTAGGGAACAAAACAAATGCAGCCTAAGTTAGAATAATGGTTGGATTTGATTATAAGACTTTAAAACAAAGAATGCAATACCGTTGAAAATTCTCTTGGCACCAATTGTAGGACACTTTGTTCATTCAGAAATACCATTTTGTGCTTGCATCTTTAAAAGGTTAGACATGAGCTAGAAAATATATAGTTCAATACTGCTCACAGAATTAGCAATACAATATAAAAATATGACAGCAATCAGACTATACAGGTACTCTGAAAAAAGGTGTACATCTCATTTTTCAATACACAATATACATATACAAAAAGGTGTATATTACATCTCTCTGTAATCAATGACCTACAAGGTTACTAATTATAAAGCCACACTCTTGCTGGGAGGTAATGCACTACTCGCAGCTACATAT